AAACGATTGATTTTAAAAGGGCTTTAAGATGTACTTGAATTTAAGATTTCTCACGAAATCCGTTTTAAAGTCAAAATTAAATGGCCTGATTGAATTGGCTAGTTTTAGAAAGGCTTTTAAAGAGTATTTGAAATAGGAGTTCAAATGCTGCTCTGTTTGAAAGATATTTTTAGAACGTTTTATCTTAACTGAAATTAAGAAAAGCTTTAAGAAATTTAGTGATTCACTTATTTGAAATTATTGTTACAAATTAAGTATTCTTTCTTATATTAAAAAAAAAAAAATGTTCCGCAAATTTTAAGAAACCCCAGTAAGTACAAGTTAAAGTTTAAGTTACAGTGGCGGCCTCATAGGAGGGTCGTCACAGTAATACCGAGATTTCTCTTTTAATTATGTCAGTGCCTTTTTAACAAAGGGTGACGTGTCCATTGATCTTTTGTTGGACAGATATAAAGTCTATAACCTCGATCATTTTATCGATTCAAATTTTATTATAGTAAAAAAAAATTTTAAAATAATCGTATTTAATTTTTTTATTATAATAAAAAATTTTCATATAAAATCACATTTTAATTCGAATTAAAAACTCAAAAGGCCCTAAATAGGCGATCTGGGTTCTGTTTTATCAACAATATTCCTTCTTCATCAGTTACTAAAACAAAATTGCCGTTGGTAGCTATGGGTAACTATTCAATTCAATTCTGTATTTTTTTTATCGCAATCAATTTAATCCAAAACTACAATTTAATTCAATTTTTTTTTCGTTTGTCTAGGTACCAATGAAATGTATGATTTAAGTTGTCGTTTTTCATTTGGCCCGCCTGCCTCTCTTGTGTAGGTAAACACAAAACGACAACAATCATTTATCCAACTCATTTACACGTCAGTTCGACATGCACAACACGTCTCTTTATCCGCTTTCTCGAACTCTCCAGATTTTGGCCTCCCAAAGCAACATGCCCCCCATGGGGCCCTTGACTAATATTCTTACCAAAAGTAAGATAAAATATATGTCACAATCTTTCCCACCTCAAGAAAGAAAAATATGTTGAGATTCAACTTAGAGAAAAATAGCATTTGTGCCCTAAACCATATAACAATAATAATAATAATAATAATAATAATAATAAAATTCCTGTGCATATGTTACAGCGTTTTCACATTAAATATAAAAATATAGTCTTTATAATAGTGCTAGTCTGCCAATAAATCCACACCCTCTTTTTAATGTTGAAGTTGAGAATTTGAGATCCTCCACTCCACTTAAAAAAAAACAAATTTAAAAAAATCTATAGGAATTAAACAATTCAAAACATAACTCAACTATTAAAGACCTTACTATAGAATTCTCAATATAATTTCTCCTGCGCTTTTATATTTGTCCCTAGTATGATTCTTCTAATAAAAAACAAGTATCTTGATGTTTATTTTAAGAGTTCGTCTCTAATTTTGAATCATAATTTTTTATTCTCTATAATATTTTTCTCTTATAAAAAATTTAAATTTTAAAACTCAAAATCATAAATTAAAATTCTAAACCTATCTATAAACTAAACGTAGCCTAAATAATTTACCAACCACTAGCCGTTGCTCTCTCAAATCCCTTGCCTTATATTTCTGCGTGGAACAAGGTTATCACTCGTGGTTTCAATATCAATCCAAAGAAAACCCACGTTTGGATGACATGGCTCTAGCACTACGTATTATTTTAGTCTTTTGTACAATCTTGAAGCTGAATCAAAGACTTCGAGACTGGATCCTCAGAAGAAGTTGAAATCTGGAACCTTCCAGCGACTTGTCAAAATCTACACAAAATCAAACGAAAACGCAGGTCAAAATCATATTATATTACCATAAAAGAATAGTTAAAACCCCGTTAAATAAAATATAACACGCCAAGATAGTAAACTTGTCCACGTTGCCTTTCCGTGATCCATATCACCATAATCATCTTTTTCTTCCTACACATATAAATATTGTCATTGCCATTGGTGAGATTGTTCATGTTCTGTTATATACGTAAATTTGATCACTGCCTTTGTTTTTTCCCTTCCTGAACTGGGATTGTTTTATATCTTCTTGGCAAGCTAAAACTTGCACAAAAGTGTTTTTTTTTTCTTCTACCATTTTGGTGGTGAAGATGACGATCACGGCCACACCAAGCGTAGAAAATGGCTGCCTCATTGTGCGGGGCAGAGTGGTCTTAACAGGAGTTCCTCAAAACGTTGTCGTTTTGCCTCTTACCGGTAGCTCGGCTTTCGTTGGTGCCAATTCTAGTTTTCCCAGCTCTCGTCATGTTTTCAGTCTCGGAACTCTTAAGTGAGTATTTGTTTTCTTTTTCTCTGCATTGTTTTTTTATATGTGGCATTGTTTGTTTGTTCTACACGTTTCATGAAAATGGAAATTTAGAATTATAGATACAAGAGAATCAAATAACCGGATCACTGTTTTTGTTCAAACATAACTTTAAGATCTTGACATCTTGGATATTTCAATGGTATAAAGAAAAGAAAAACTACTTTATTTTGTTTTGTGAACATAATCTGTGTATTAAACCAAACTTAGTGGACGTTTCGTTCATCAATTCAGAATTATGATTCAGAATTATTCTCAATTTACGTGTATTTTTTGTGAGAGAAAATATAATAGCAAACCATAAACCATAATTCGAATCAGGTACGAATCCACCAACCAAATTTCCTATTAATGATCTGGATTATTTTTGTTGCCAATCCAGGGGATTCAAGTTCTTATCTCTCTTTAAATTCAAGATATGGTGGATGATACCTCGCGTAGGAAAATCCGGAAGTGAAGTTCCCATGGAAACTCAAATGCTTATGTTGGAAGCAAGAGAAGAGTCTGCCTTGGAGTGGGAGATTTCTTCTGAGCCAAACAGTATTGGAAACACTTTTTACATTCTCCTCTTGCCTGTGTTGGATGGCCTTTTTCGTGCGAGTTTGGAAGGGACTAGTGAAAATGAGCTCCGATTATGCGTCGAAAGCGGTTTGTTTGGATGTTAATAGTCCTATGTTTGATGTTAATGATGTTTTGGATTTCATGTTTGGACTTATTTCATGATTTTCCAATTTGTTCAGGAGATGCCAAAGTCCAAACCTCCCAAGCACTAGAAGCATTGTTTGTGAATTCAGGGGACAACCCATATGAGCTTATTAAACATTCTATCAAGTATGGTTTTTTTTTTTTCTTATTATTAATTTTAAATAATATTCTGTGAAAATAAAAATGCAGAATTTGACAAACTTAACTATCTCATGATGACTAATGGTGTTTCTTTTTTTTTTTTCCTCATTGGTGTAGGATATTGGAGAAGAACAAAGGAACTTTCAGTCATATTGAGAACAAGAAAGTAATGAGTTTGAAACCTTAAATCCTAATGTCATATATATGTATTATTGTGCTTGATCCTCTGCAATTTCTAATCAGTCTGATAAGTTTTATATCTTGAAAATGGAAATATAGATCCCTTCGCATTTAGATTGGTTTGGATGGTGCACTTGGGATGCTTTCTACACTGAAGTTAATCCAGAAGGAATTGAAGAGGGTCTTAAGAGGTAAATAAGAACATGTGTTGGAACTACATTGGACATGTCTCTTTGGAAAAGCCACTAAAATGTAATGTGACATGGTCTTTGTGTTTACAATCTTGCAGTTTTAAGGAAGGAGGTTGTTCCCCAAAATTTGTTATTATTGATGATGGATGGCAACATACTGTAAATGAATTTCACAAAGAAGGCGAACCGCTTGTTGAAGGGACACAGTAAGTCCATGAAGTTCTAGAAGCTATTTTTAAACAAAATGTTACTGTGTGGAGCCTCATTAGTCCCTTGAAGCAGAGTTAGCATGCTTACACGTATTTATATTGGGGCTCCGGGTTTAGGGATTAATTTAGAGAAATTCGGAGAGTCTGAGAGGCATGCGGTATGTGATTTTTCTAATATAGTGAAATTCTACAACAGCTAAAAGTAGACGTTACTCTCATGACACATTATCATGTGTGTACTTGTTTTCCTTTTCCTCTATTATTTCTCTCACTAGTAAGAAATAAAATTAAGGCGTTTAATCCGTAACAATGTTAAATGTTTCTCTTCCTTTTGACATATAGGTTCGCGATCAGATTGGTTGATATCAAAGAGAATACTAAGTTCAGAAGTTCAGGATCAAAAGACACATGCACAGACCTCCATGAGTTCATTAATCTCATCAAAGAGAAATATGGACTAAAGTAAGCTTTCCACTTAAGATATGAACGTTATAATCTATAGCATATGCTTTCCACTTAAGATGTGGACCATGCCAAACCGCTGCGAATAAGTCGATATTGGGAGATCCAACATTGCAAAACTGAACCTGCTCTGATACCTTGTTAGTTTACCAATCCATCCCAAAAGCTTAAGCTGTTAGGAGGTGGGCCAACAATAGTTTAATACTTTTTAACGTATGTTTTGGCGGCTCAATGTCTAAACCATGAACACTTTCTAATTTGACGTCTGCAGGTTTGTTTACATGTGGCATGCTTTAGCTGGTTATTGGGGAGGCGTCCTCCCTTCATCGGAATCAATGAGAAAATACAATCCAAAGATTGCTTTCCCAATTCAGTCACCTGGCAACACGGGGAATCTTAGAGACGTTGCCATGGACAGCTTGGAGAAATATGGGGTTGGCCTAATAGACCCCGAAAAGATTTTCGAGTTCTATGATGATCTGCATGGCTATCTTGCGCGCTGCGGAGTAGATGGAGTTAAAGTAGATGTTCAGAATCTGTTAGAAACCTTAGGGTCTGGCTATGGTGGTCGCGTTTCGATCACTAGACGGTATCAACAAGCTCTAGAGCAATCTGTTGCTAGAAATTTCGCAGACAACAACCTGATCTGCTGCATGAGTCACAATTCAGATTCCATATTCAGGTCTGCTTAATACTCAGTCTTTTCTAAGTATTGTTGAGAGTTGGAGTGCATACTCTGAGTGATTTTTGGTCTACTGTTAGTTCGAAGAAGAGCGCGGTTGCAAGAGCCTCGGAGGATTTCATGCCAAGAGAGCCTACATTCCAGACTTTGCATGTTGTTTCTGTGGCTTTTAATAGCCTTCTGTTAGGAGAGATCGTGGTTCCGGATTGGGATATGTTCCAGGTAAGAATTCCTTTAAACTTGTGAATACGTTTTTCTGTAAATGACTAGTTTGTAGTTACTTGATTCACAACAACTCACTTTATTACTTTTAAATACAGAGCAAGCATGAAACGGCTGAATTCCATGGAGCAGCAAGAGCATTCGGTGGATGTGCGATATATGTAAGGTGAGATACAGTAACTAATAATTAAGCGATTTCATATAAAACGTATAGCTGTTTTTAGCCATCTTATAAAGCAAAAAAAGCTTATCTAATTGATATTTCGCGTAATGCCAGTGACAAACCAGGAAATCAAGACTTCAAAATCCTCAAGAAGTTGGTATTACCGGACGGATCGGTACTAAGAGCTAGACATGCCGGTCGACCAACTCGAGACTGTTTATTTGTTGATCCTGTCATGGATGGAATTAGGTAAAGTGTGTGTGCATAAAGAAGCACGGAAGTTGTTTTGAGATTTTTGTTCTTCAACACCTTGTTTGCTTGCTTCCAACTGTGTGCTTGCTTGCTTCTTCTCCTTCTCTCTTTTTTTTTTTTTTTTTTTGTTGTTGTTGTTGTTGTTGTCCAGGCACGTCCCTCATATCATACTAGTATATAAAGAAGACCAAATCAATCACACTTTTTATCTGGTTCTTTCTTTTCATTTCATGATAATGAATTCTTTTTTTTTTTTTTTTATAAAAATAATTTTTTTTTTTTTTTTTTTTTTTTTTTTTTTTTTGCAGCTTGCTGAAAATATGGAACCTGAATAAGTTGTGTGGGGTTGTGGGAGTGTTTAATTGCCAAGGAGCAGGTATTTGGCCACTGAAACAAGTGGTGGAAAACATCCACTGCAAAAGTTCTACAAGTTCAGTAATTTCTGGTCATGTGAAGCCCAATGATGTTGAGTTCCTTGAAGATATTGCTGGTGAAAACTGGAATGGAGATTGTGCTGTGTATGCCTTCAATTCAGGTTAAATTGCTACTCTTTTTTTGTCCCTAAGTTTTCATCTGAACCAAGAAAATAACTTCACGAACCAATAAAAGAACCATCTTGAAAAACATTGCAGGACATCTTTCTGTTTTGCCAAAGAGTGGAAATCTTGAGGTTTCACTGGCCACTCTTCAATGTGAAATATATACAATCTCACCAATTCAGGTCAGTAACTTTACAAATTTATGTTTGTTTTGAACTTATATAATGCTAATCTTAACAAAAACTATGTGAATTGTTATGCGAGCAGGTTTTTGGACATGGCATAAAATTTGCTCCATTAGGCTTGCTTGATATGTACAACTCAGGAGGGGCTGTGGAATCCTTGAGTTGCAGTGTACAAATTTCGGAGACCACAGTTAAGATCCGAGGGAAAGGCCTCGGGCGATTCGGAGCCTATTCGAGCTCAAAACCGAAGTGGTGTATGGTTTGCCAAAAGGAAGAGGAGTTCACCTATAATTCTGAAGATGGATTGTTGATAGTGAAGCTTGAAGGTGAATGTGGTCCAAAAGACATTGAATTTGTATATTGAACTTAGTTGAGGAAGTTGGTATCTGGCATTCTATAGAATATTGATTGATCCAATATGTGTTATGATATGAGTTTAATGGTTAAATGTAATTCTTTTGATGTGTTGTGAACCAATTGTTCCCTTTTTGAATGAGAATAAATATGAAGCCAATACATCCAAGTACAAAGCGGGACAAATTCTTTATGGAGAAATTTAGGAATATGCCCTATTATCACTGTTTCTCCTTTAGAATCGTCTCCTCTTAATTTGATTTCAAAAAGAAGAATAAAGAGGCAAAGATACATAAATCTTTATGCCTTGAAGCCTTTACAGTACGAACACCTCCAATTTAAATAACATGCAAAGTGTTAAATTATGGCATAAAGTAAGAAATTGTTATAAAAACTTACTATTAAGAGAGGACGTAGTTTTGATCACAAACGACATAAAATTTTATATAAGGGGAAAAAAAAAAAAAAAAAAAAAAAAAAAAAACAGAGAGAGAGACATCATTTATGATGTCTATTTACTGTATGTATTGTCGTTTTCCTTTTATTGTTGTTTTGTTTTGCTGTCGTTTAATGAGGTGCTAGTCGTGTTCACATTTTTTTGTTTTTCACGATATGGTCATATGTAATTGTATCTTAAGATGAATTACACAAAACTGAATGTTGTTTAAGAGCAATTACAAAAAATAACAGGCGCTTTGTTTCTTTTGTTGTCGTTTTTTCATACCTAAGATGTTTCTCTTTTTGCTGTCATTTTCTGATGTCATTATTTTGTTTCGTTTATGCACAACTTGTTGTCGTTTTTGTTTGATGTCATTTATTAGTATGATTGTCATTTTCATGTTGTTTCCGAATAGTTTTCTTGTCATTTCAAAGAGAGAGAAAAGAAGGAAAAAAAAAAAAAAAAAAGAAGAAGAAGAAGAAGAAGAATGGTTTTATTGTCGTTTCTTTCCAAAACACTGATATGTTCTCATTTTGTCCTCTGATATCGATCTACGTAAAAAACTTTGGAATCATGGATGCCTCAATGTACTGGACAATGTAATTGTTGATCATATCAGAGTTTTTTTTTTTCTTTTTTTATTTTCATTACTATTATCATTTATCAAACAGCAACAACTACGACAACTTTCTTTTTAGAGAGGATTAAGCAACAATTAAGAGAGCGATTCTAAGCGGACAAATATTTGTAACATAATGTGGGTGTGGGACCCGCATGCTGGCCCTCATTGCCAAATGGCAACAGAAAATTGTGCAAATCGACTCTCTAGATGACACGTAGCATTTTTCTAAGTCATGGTTGGTTAGTATTGCATTCATAATTTTGTTTTTAAGTCAAATAATACCCCTCTAAAAAATAAATTCGGTTCCCTTCCATATGCTCGTCTAGATTCTGATTAACAAATTATAATATCATTAGAAACATTGGTATAACTATAATAATATGAGGGTGATAACGGCCACTTTAAAAGCAAGAACTTGCTAGAGATTGGAGAGATAATCATCGTCCCAGTCATTGACTAGTTGAATTTGTTCCACTTTATTATTTAAATAACTCTAATTCCATAATTTGTTGATCACATGTATGGATAGAACTCTCCAGATTCTTAGTATTTTAATCACAGGCAAGATCCAGAATCTGGAGACTGCCCACGACGTCTAGAAAGCAAAAGGTATTGCATATTCTGTTGCAAAACCCCCTAAAATGTGTGCGCCCGCGACCTGCGGACATAAATGTCGAATCGGAAAATTTTCTCTGTGCGGGCTTTGTTTTACAATTTTTTATTTTTTGATTCAGCCCAAGACCTTCCAGCCGTTTAGCCTAAGCTTAATGGTTGGTAAATGAGCATAATGGTGTGTAATGGGGCTTAATTGTGACTAATGAAGGAAAACTAGAATTTGCCAAGGTTAATAAGCTTAATGGCATCAGTTTTCATCATCAAAGTCCGAATCTATATGAGAAATGTGACCAGATTCATCATGGAAAAAAACTAACAATTTTGCTCCATTATAATGTAGATTAATGTGTGTTTTTAAACACTATAATGTCATGGTAGAATTTAGAGCCTATATAAAGGCCCTACTCCACATGAACAACTCACTCAAAAACAGAATACTCTTCTCCTCTCTCTCGATTTCTTTCTTTTGTCGAGTTCTTCTTGCAATTATTTTTGTAGTTCGTTTTCGGTGATAGAAGGAAGGTCCGAGTTCTAGTTCGTCAGACGGTTCTGATAGTGCTTCAAGCTACCGTCGTTGTCATTGTATCCTGGGAGACGGACGTCTAACGTTACCTCAAGCACTACCGGAGGGGACGAATCTATTTTAAGGAAAGCGTGGTTCACGTGCATCGACATCCTTGCAATTTGTTTTTCAAGTTTGGTATAAAGGTTAAATTTGTGTTGTAACAATTTCTATATTTTGTTCTTCCTATAAGTTGTTATAAATTGTTCTTCTTTGCATTATTCATATTCTTCCTAACATATATATAAGGGTATATTTGTTTGACCGTATTAGAACACCGTATTGTATGATAATATAATAATATTATGTTTGGTGTGACCATCGTATTGTATAAATAAAAATGGAACGTAGATTAATACAGTCCATGTCGTTTTATTGAATAGAGTTCATTTTTGGCATATTGTATTGTATTACTTTGTAGCCGATTCATGATTGATGTCGGGGTTAGACAGGACATTGACTTATATCGGAGTCTATAATTTTTAAAAAATTGCGGGGCACAATGTAAAAATGCGAATTTATATTTTTAAAATTACATTTTGACTCAAAATTTTTACAAAATTACTTTTTTACCCAAATTTTTTCAGACTTACATTTTTTAATGACTTGCATTTTTTATCCCAAAAATTTTGAATAATTATATTTCACCCTGAAATTTTTGAAGAATTACATTTTAACCCCAAAATTTTAAAAAAAAAATTATATTTTCACTCCTTATACAATACGTTATGATACCAAACACCGTATTGTATTATGACAATACAACACAATGTAATACACTTTATACAACACAAGCTACTAATATATGGCATAAATCTGTAAACTACAGAGAGACATGAGTAGTTAAAAAGAAAAGGGCTTCTCTATATATGTCACGGATTGGTCATCAGTTCTTGACCGCATGTTTTATCTAAAATCTTGACTATTCATCTAGACAATTTGGGGTTTGATTGGAAGTCACTTTGTTTTTCTCTCACGTTTCTCTTTCATTTCACTTAAGACGCTCTAATCGTTAATGTGGTGAGACACAAAATAATTATTTCTGAAAGATGATTAAGGTAAGACACTTTAGAATTCTCTACAATTCTCTATGATCATTTCTTTTGCAATGGTTTTTGAAGGGTTCTATGGTGCAACAAAAGTATGGATCTGCTTAAAATTTTTAGATGCTTATATATGAAGTTTTGATTTGATCTCTTTACTGCTTTTTAGTATTTTTTGTTTTTGGTCTGGTGAATGAATTTACATTATATGACATGCATGTTGTCCTTAATCCAACTTCCATATTGTTACAGGTAAACAAAGATTTGATGGTAACCACAAAAAAAAAAAAAAAAAAAAAAAAAAGGCACACTAGTAAGATTTTTTTTTTTCCCCTAAAGGAACAGTAGTAAAAAACTGCTGAAAGAGTCTGTTCTTCAAGGGGAGTTGATCAAAATTAAATCACGATAAAATAAGATGTGTGCTTCCTTCTTTAAACGACATTAAGCGAAGGCCGTTAAACAAATGCGGCATGTCATATTTAATAAAAAAAAGACGCATGCGAGAGACGGCAAACTTTAGTCCTTGAATAACGGTGAGCAACAAACGGCAAATGCTCGTCTTCAGTCTTAGTTCACTGCAGAAAACGACATGAATTTTCCATTCATAAGAAAAAATTACATGTATTTTGTTTTTGCTAAAGCAAAGACACGAATTTTCCGTTTCGGCTAATCTTCAGAGACAGGTGCCTTCTTATGGAATGCGATCTGTCCTCTGTATTTTTCAGTGAAAGCAAACGACACGCGTTAACCTTTCAGGTGAAAAACGACATTTAGAAATGCGGAATGTTCTTTCTTGTTCATGGAAAAAGAAGATGTTCAGTTTTTGGGTAGAACGAGAATTCGTCGTTCTGTTGAAGATCATACAACCCAAACATAAATTACATATTGCCTATTTTGTAGCTCAAGGAAAAGACATGATCTTGAACAAAACGACATATGATTTTCCACCGACAAAGCAGAAATAATCGATATATATTCGAACTGTCTTTTACTATCCACACGAAAGACATGCTGTTTTACTAGCGGAATTTCGTTGGTGGCAGTAGACCTTAAAACGTCAAAAATTCGTTAGCAAATATCGTTGTAGTTTTCTTGAATTTCATTTGGTTAGAACATCGGTAATATAATATTATAATTGATGTATTAATTATAATTTTAATATTAAGCATCTTAAATACAATGTTATTTATTATATTAAATTTTTAATATAATATATTTTATAGTAAATTTTTCACTCAATATAACATATGAGAAATTTAACATTTAATTATTATTGGTTAAAATATTTACGTTTTCTTATAATCATTGCAATTTTTACATGTCCTTATTATTTTAAAAATAAAAGTTTATTTTTACAATTTCTAAAGCTTAATAATTATAGAATAAAAGTATATTTAGCATTTCAAAAAGCGTAATACATTGGAGAAAAAATAAAAATAACATACCATAATATATTTTTTCATGCTCAATATACAATTAGTATTAACATTTGTATTAAAAATGGTCTTAGTGTAAAAATCATTCTCCAATGCAATATTATTTATTGTGTCAAATTCACTATATACTTTCTAATAAATTTTCTACTAAATATAGCATATAATAAATTTAACACATTTCTATTGGTATTAGTTGATATGATTACTTTTTATTTAATCATTATAATTTATACTTTTTTAAATTATTTTAAAATAAAAAATTTACTTTATAACTTTTAAAGCTTAATAATTATTAAAAAAAATAACATTTTAAAAGGCATTATACATTAGGCTACAACAAATATATCTATCTTACTTTTTGGTGTTAAATATAGAAATATCATTAGAATTTTTATTGCGTTTCAAACGCGATACGTTTGCTTATCAAAAAATAATAATAATAATAATAATAATAAGAAACACGAGATGTTTGCTTCCCGCAAAAAACGACATAAACCGGAAACGGCACAACGCGTCATGTATGATTAAAGCGACATACACATGAAACGGCATGTCGTTCCGCATCTCGCAGAGCTCTTACCAACCCATAAAATCTCGTTAGTAAAAGTCATCCTATATAAACCCCTTTCATCATCTTCTTCTCCTCCTCTCCTTATCCTTCCTTCCTCTGCTCTAAAACCCTTCTCTCTCTCTCATATTTCTAGAGATAAGAACCAGAAATGACTTGCGCGACTTCTTCTCTCTTCAAGACCTTATCAGTTGCAGACTCATGTCGTCTCTCTCTCTTCACCACCACTAAACCCCCTTCCTCTCCTCCATTTCTCTCCCTCCCTTCCAAGCCTCGGAACCTCCACTTCTCATCCTCTCTCTCCTCTTTCTCTCTCCTCTCCATCACCAAGAGACCTCACTCCTCTTCCTCCCTTGTCGCCTTGGTCTCCCAGACCTCCGACTGGGCCCAGCAGGAAGAGGGCGCCGCCGCGGCGGTCGCCATTGGCGAAGATACCGAAGCTCGCGTCTCCGATTGGGAAGCCGAGGGCGAAGGCGAAGACGCCGCCGCTGACGCTGCCGAAAGCGACGGGCTTTTCGAGGAGAGAGGTGGAGAAGAAGACGAAGGGGGTTTTGTGGAACCTCCAGAGGAGGCGAAGATTTTCGTCGGGAATTTGCCCTACGACGTCGATAGTCAGAGACTAGCTATGCTCTTTGAGAAGGCCGGGATTGTGGAGATTTCTGAGGTGAATTTCAACAATTTCAATTCTTTGGGGTTTCGATTTTTTTTTTTTTTTTTGGTATGTGTTGATGTGTTATATTTTTCCTGGTTTTCAGGTTATTTACAACAGGGAAACCGATAGGAGTCGCGGGTTCGGATTTGTGACGATGAGTACGGTTGAAGAAGCTGATAAGGCTGTGGAAATGTTCAATCGCTATGTGAGTTGTTTCTTAACAACAAAAAAAAAAAAAAAAAAAAAAAAAAAAAAAAAAAAAAAAGTCCAACTTTATGGTAATGTTTAGTATGATTATTAGTAAAAAAAGAAATGGTTTAATGTTGTAATGATATAGAAGTAGTAGGCAGTGAATGATTATATTACAAGAGAGAATTAGAGGCCAATTAGTGAAATTGGGACTACATTTTTTAAACTCCTCTTTGTGGAAATAACCGAGCAAGAATTTTGAAAAAAAGGCTATGATAAGATAATATATGCTTGGTATTTGCCTAAGACCTCTCGGTCTAGTGGCAGGGGGTTTCGGTAGGGTGAGATTGGGTGAGGGTGAGGGGTTGCGGGTTCAATCCCGTGTTATATCAAAATATATATGTGCAAATATATATGCTTGGTATTTGGCCAAACGTGGGCAACTACTGAAAGTAAAACGTTATGTGAAAGTACAATAGAAAGTTGTATTCTAGAGCTTCCGATGACAAGCAAGTCATTATCTTAAGTTTTAGGTGTGCTTCTTGCGTTAATAGGCCTTAAGCAGGCGGATATTATACCCTCCAAAGCTATCAGGGAGAAAAAAGTTTTGAATTTATTATTTTGAAATATCTAAGTTGACAGAGTTTTCATTTTTAGTTTCTTATTGTTTGCTGAATGCTGTTATAGTAAGATCAGTGCCTAAGGTGCATAAAATGTAAGGCAAACGTTTTATTCTCTCTAATTTGCTACAACAATCAATGAGGGTTAAAATTTAATACGAAGCTGAGTTAGATCAAAACGACATTATCTACTTCTACCTTTTTTCATTGGAGTAAAAATAATGTTTGCCTCAATGGTTGGTTTTTTTTTTTAATATATACCACGTGCAAAATCATTTCCATTGCTTACTATAGTAGTGACTTCTTTGTCAATTTTTCATTTACTTAATTCACTATATATATGTGTGTGTGTGTGTATATATATATTTGGACTTTGGATAGGATGTGGATGGAAGGCTCTTGACTGTTAATAAAGCTTCTCCCAGAGGCACACGACCAGAACGCACTTCTAGAATGTTTGAACCTTCTTTCAGAATCTATGTTGGAAACCTGTCATGGGATGTCGACAATGGTCGACTTGAGCAGGTCTTTAGTGAACATGGTAAGGTATTAGAGGCTCGAGTGGTTTATGACAGAGAAACTGGCCGTTCACGAGGCTTTGGCTTTGTGACATTGTCCAGTGAAAGTGAAGTGGAAGACGCTATTGCTGCTCTAGATGGACAGGTATTCAAAATATCTTTGCTTAAAGTTTTGATGCAATCAAATATTTAATCGACTTTTTGGTCCAAATATGCCTAATTATTGTTTGAAAAAAAAAAAAGAATATATGAGATCATCTTTGTGGATTTGGTTCATTTGAGATACCATCTAAAACGAGTTAATTTGAGATTTCTTTCTGTCGCAGAGCCTGGATGGAAGAGCTATCAGGGTTAGCGTTGCTGATGAAAAACCAAGGCGCTCCTTTTGATTTCAACTAAGATGAATCCAAACAGTTTTTTGTTTTACCTAGTTTCTTTTTTTTTCTTTTTTTTTTTCTTTTTTAGGTCTAAAATAGTAGTCCATGTTTTTTGTGAGCCATTTCTCAGTGAGAGTCGGTGTTTTATTGGTATTATTTTTGAGTTGGAATGATACATTAACTCTGTAGAACTATAATTATTTTCCACCAAATCTCATGAAATTCAGGAAAACAAAGGTTAAAATAAAGCAGGAA